GAGGCAGGTGCTTCACAGTGCTCCTTCCCTCCCTCCTCTGCCCTTGTTTGTAAAAGCCATTGGGAAACTAGCATGAGGTGCTTGCCCCATCTCCTCTCCAGCCATCAGCAGGCAGTGCAAGGAGAGGCACTGCTGTGTGCAGAACTCCTTCTAGACATGGCAGAGCAAGGATAACACGTGGGCTTTTCAGAAAGTGTGTCAGGGAGGAAGCTTTACAAAAAGAGACTCCTCTCTCCACCTCTAGGGCTTTAACAAATGTAAGTTCATTCACCACAGAGAAAACTGACCTGGAGTTCACAGAGGCAAAGGCATCAGTTTTGGGTGCTGCAGATCAGCCGTGGTGCTGTGATGCTGACAGAAGGCTCTTCTGGACCCAGTCCTATCCAGCAGCCTGTCCTTTTGGACTGGATCTCCCTCTGATCATTTTCCTGCCTCCCAGAAGTATTGCTGAAAACACTGCAGAGAGTGTGCTGGGTTCACAGTGAGCACTGCTGTGGATAGTGGAATGTAATCAGGCCTGTACCTGAGTGAGGAGTGAGCTCAGATGTTTGCAGAGCAGAGTGGTTTCCATGAGGACATGCAATTCAAATAAAAAACCCCTCATGGCCTACCCATTCTGAAGCTAAAATGGAGATTTGTTTTCAGTGCATCCTGGATTGAAACACAGTTTTTCCATGGCAAAGATGGAAAGCAAACCTTGCCTTAAGCATCTCTGGATAGTCAAGCTTAAAGCAGCTTCTGTGGGAAAGGCATTAAAAGTTGTCTGTGAAACGTTGCCATTCTTTTCCCGATATATGCAAAGTAAGATTTTCAGAAAAATTTGGTGTTGGATGAGGAATCCCATCCTGAAGTTGTACTGCAGAAATTGCTTGGCGTGCTGAAGACTGTTCAAGGTCTTTAGAAGCTTAACTAATTAAATCACTGAGAAGTAGGACACAAAATGCCTTTTAAAATCCTAGCTTCAATATTTCTGTCCTCTGCAACATCAGGGGTTTGATGGAGCTGGGCAGTGCACGTAAGGAGACAAGGGAAGAGGCTGGTGGTCACCTCCAGGCAGAGGGGCTGTGGCCTTTGTGATTCCCAGGTCAAGTCTGCCGCTTCCCCTCTGCACTGGGAGAGCAGAACCTGCTGCCACTGTTTCTCCCAGCTGGGCTCTGGCCTTTCTCCCTCTTCCCTGGACAAACCCAGCAGGGTGTGCTCTGGCACTGGGGAGAGCACACACTGCTCCTTAGCAGCTCCTTGCCCCAGCCTCTTCTCACTTGTCTTTATTTGGTTTTCTCCCAACGCGGTGCAGGGGCAGCAGCGGGGAAGGAGAGCGAGAGGACACAGCGGAGGAGCACAGATGCAGGCGCGCCCTCCCTGCTGCGGTGGGTCGTGGCGCTCAGCTGCCTCGCCATGACCGTCGCCGTGGGCTTGTTTGCCATGTGAAAGCAGGACCTTCACCTCTCTTTGTGACTTCCCTCACCCTGAACTAATCCACCCTCCCCAGTCCTCGTGAGAGAAATTACCCCTGACTGGGTACTGTGATCTTGGTTCTGCCACTAATACTCGGAGACTTTTCTTCCTGGAAATCAAAGAGTGCTGTAAGGGGGTTCAGGCAAAGTTTCTCCTGTGCTTGGTGTGAGCTCTTCTCAGAGACTAACTTTATCACCAAAAACCAAGGGTGCAAAAGGCTAAAAGCAATGGCCAGCAATGTCATTGCTTTACAGAGTGCCTACAAAAACCCTACAGGATTAGAAACACAGCTTTGGCATCTGTCTTTCCTCAGAAAGACAGAGCTCTCGGACCTCTGTTTGCTCAGTTTTTTATACTGCTAGATAATACTGTGATCACTTTCTCTGTGGAGCCACATGCTCCCATGGGTTCGTTTTACATGATATTACTAGGTCTTTGTTATTTCTTTTTCCCATTATTCTTGTCTTTGAAAAACAAAAGACAGTTGTTGGGCATACAGTGTCATTCTTGTCTGGTTGTATAATTTATACACATAATAAATTTCAATGTGTAAAGTCTTTGAGCCTGGTGTTTGCTATTATTAAAGCCTTACCTGGGGAAAAAGGAGGTGTCTTTCTTCCTCCTGGCTTTATGTCTTTTGGAGCTGCTGTCTGCACAGACACAACAATAGACAGAAGTGGGAGCCAGACTCTGCTCCCACTCAGTGCTAACAATAACCTGTTCTAAGCTGGGGCAGGTTCCTTCAGCTCCTACACACTGCTCTCTCTATTTCTAGAAACAGCACAAAATTCAGTGAGCGTGCAGAGCATTTACAGGGGGTGGAAGTGGCCCATAAGAGCTGGTTGCTATTCTGTCACAAGCAAAAGGTGATGGGACCCTCAGCTGGCTGAAACCAGGAATCTCTCCCTGAGCTGCCAGCAAAGGGCTGCATTACAGGCTGCCTCTGCAACAGCTTCATGGGGAATCAGAACTGCCAGGCATGATTTCACCTCCCAGAAGTTAAAGGCACCCCAGGTTTCGGTCAAGGTGGCTGAAATGGAGGCATCAGGCCCACAACCACTGCCCTCACCCTCAGTCCCAGGCCTTGGCACACAGGTGGCCTTGCTAAAGGCACCCCAAACACACAGCACTGCTGCAGCAGCCCACGCACACAGCTGGCTCTCCTTGCCTTCTGCTGAGGCACATCTGCAGGGCTGGGTTTGTGTCCAGCCACAAGCCCTGCCCGCTCCAGGAGCTCTCCCAGCACAGAAGAGGCTGCAGGTGGGTATGGCACTGCAGGTACTGACAAAAGTGCCGTGTTATCACCCAGAAAGCCTCTGTGATCAACCTGTCTCCATGATGTGCCTGTTCTGGCTGTGACCTTAATCCCAAAGAAACGTGTTCCTACTGATCTGTTTTAATGATCAGCACTGAACCTGCTCAAAGAACAAGAATCAGCAGGCAGGTCCTGCTGAGAATGAGCAGTGAGAAAACAGGACTGTTATCATTCTCAGGATCTTTTCCACTCTGCATCCCTTCCCCAACCCCCTTTAATAGTTCTCTCTTTGGATCCACCTGCCAGAAAAAATAGTTAATTCTTGAAAAAGATAGTCGGGTTTTTGAATAGCAGGAATATTGCTTTATAGCTATTTAAATACAAGAACTTGTTTATTCAGATTTGAATTAAGTTCTACCTATTGAGCCACTCTAAACCAGCCCAACTAAACCATTTTGTTCATTCAAACATGCTCAGGAAGCTCAGATCCCAAAGAGACAAACAAAAGCCCATGAGCTCAGAAACACACTGCACCACACTCAGCCCTCTCCTCTCCTCAGAGAGCCCGACTGCAGCCTCAGAGCTGGAAAATATAGGTTCTGTGAAAAACAACAATCACTTGTTTTTAAAATTTTAAAAAGTTTAATAGAAATAAAATGGCTAAAAAATAGTAACACAATTAGAGTAATAACAATTTGGACAAATTGAATTAAGACAATATGAGACAATAAAAACAAAGAGTTAAGGACGTCCAGGTACCTTTTTCTGGGTATCACAAGCCCAAAAAAGGACACCCGTTAACAAAGGGTTAACCCTTAAGAACAATAGCGTGTTGCATATTCATACACCTCATACATGATGCATAAATTCCATTCAAACACAGGATTCTGTCTGGTCTTCATCAAATTCTCCCCTCGAATCCTAATAGCACCTTCGAGGCGGGAAGAAGTTTGTTTCTTCTGATAAGAAGGCAATAAATTCCCTTTCTCTGAAAGATCTAGGTGTTCTGTGGCTGCTATCTCGCTGCAAGCCCTTTCTGTTAAACAAAGCATCTTACATAGCATAGTTTCTATTTTAACAATTTTTATAACCTAAAACTATATTTAACACAGTACTTAAGAAAATTAATGCAGCATTGCTTTCTAACACAACACATATAATATTCATTTTAATATTTGCGAAAAGCCAATCATAAAATACATGCATTTTTCACAGGTTCTGACAGGCATCATACCCTCCCTGCTCATGCCAGGAGAGAGATGGCGCTTTGGGTATCTCACAGCCATTGCTGTCACACACAGGAGATTCCAGACTGAGCCTCAAGCCCGCAGAAATGAGACCAAGGCTTTGTTTGTGCCTGTCTATGATCGGTATGAGTACACCTGTTTTCTGTGCAGCAATGGCCTCTCTTCATTTCCCGCGGCCTGCGGCTGACCCTCCCCTGCCGTGCACTCCCGGCTCACTCTGCATTAGGGCGCGCTGTACCACGCTTTGGAAGGGCCGAACTGCGCACGCAGCGACCGGCCGGCCTTCCCCCAGGTTCACACAGAGCCATGAGGAAGGCGGCCCGGGGAACTCGTGTGCTGCGGCCCTGGAGCACTGAGGGGCGCCGGCTGTCCCAGGACACTGATTAATGCGATGGTATCGCCCGCTCCCCCTCCGCGCCCCGCCGCAATGGCGCGGCCCGCCCGCCATTTCGCCTCCCCCCGCCCTTCGCTCCCAGATTTCGCGCCACACCGCTGGGGGCGGGCAGGGGGCGGAGCGCTCCGGCCAATCAGCGGCTGCAGCGGCGCCGCGCGCTCCCTCTAGGGGCGGGACGAGGGGGCGGCCGCGGCCCAATCAGCGGCGGCGCGCGGCGGGCGGGCCAATCGCAGCGCGCGGCGAAGGAGGCAGCGCGCGCTCCCTGCCCCGGTTTGGTTTCCGCCGCGCGCCGCTTTTGCCGCGAAAAAGTTTTGGGAGCGGATTCCGGTAGGGAGCGAGGTACGGGGCGGCGGGGATCGGGATCGGGATCGGGATCGGGGTCGGGATCGGGGTCGGGGTCGGGCTCGGGATCGGGCTCGGGGTGGGATCGGGCTCGGGGTCGGGGTGCGATCAGGGTCGGGGTCGGGGTCGGGGTGGGATCAGGGTCGGGGTCGGGTTGTCCCTGGGGCACTGCGGGGAAGGAGCGCGGCCCGTGCGTGGGTTGCGGCGCGGAGCCTCGGCTGGGGCGATCCCGCGGGGCGTTGGGTGCGCCCGGGGGAAGGAGGCGGCCGGGGCTGAGGCAGCGCTCCCGCCCCGCAGCGGAGCAGCGATGTCCGGCTTCGACGACCCCGGGATTTACTACAGCGACAGTTTCGGGGGAGACGCGTCCGTGGACGAGGGGCAGGTTCGGAAGTCGCAGCTGCAGAAGCGGTTCAAGGAGTTCCTGCGGCAGTACCGGGTGGGCACGGACCGGACGGGCTTCACTTTCAAATACAGGTGCTGCTGTGGCCCCTTTTCTCCTTCTGAGCCTTGCCCATCCCCACCTGCACAGCCAGTCCGCTCTTAACCTCCCTCCTGCACTGCACACCCCACAAACACAGTAGCCGCTCTGTCTCTTCTCGTCGGCCATAAAAAGCTCAGTATTAAGAGATGCTTGTGTTTAACCTGACAGAAAAGCAGAGGTCCGGTGTTCTCACAAATTTTTAGGTAGCCAGCCAGTGGAAAAGGTAGCAGTAGAGGGATCCACACTGTCAGGCTTGCACTTAGTTCTGAGATTCAAGGTCTGTGTTTGAAGTTGTTGTGCTCTCTGGTTTGGAGAATTGTCTGTGTCCTTTAAATCAGTGCATCACTCTGCAGGTATGCCTTCCAACTCCATGAAGTTCCTTTGGCCACCTTTTGCTTATACAGTTTGGAGGCACAGCTCAACATGTTGAGAAAACATGGAGATACATCATAATCAAGGGTTAGAACAGGCTTTCACCTCTGAATTTCATTAATCCTGGCATTTTTAAGGAAAATGTTACCTGTTCTGTTATTGCTTCCTTTGCTTTATACCACATCTTATGTATAGTAATTATTATCCTACGTGCAAGTTTTTTCTCCTGGTTTATCTGCTCATGTAACTCCAGTAAATACTTCACGTTGTCACTGCAGCACTGGTATCCCTGGTCTTGTGTCACCTTTCAAAGTGGGCTTGGGCGAAAGGCTGCCCAGCTTCCCCTGCTTTCTGCCCTGCAATGCTTTGCTGTTTCCTGCCTTGCAGGGATGAGCTCAAGCGGCATTACAACCTGGGGCAGTACTGGGTGGAGGTGGAGATGGAAGACTTGGCCAGCTTTGATGAAGATCTCGCAGACTATTTGTACAAGCAGCCAACAGAGCACCTGCAGCTGGTAAGGATGGGGATTGGCAACCCAGACTATTGTCACGAGACTAGCTCTGATGTTCTGCTGTGACAGACCTACTGATGGCCCATTGCTCCCTCTCTAGTTGGAAGAAGCAGCAAAAGAAGTTGCAGATGAGGTCACTCGTCCTCGTCCCTCAGGGGAGGAGACTCTCCAGGACATCCAGGTGATGCTGAGGTCGGATGCCAACGCAGCCAACATCCGCAGCCTGAAGGTGAGTGAAGTGAAGCCTGTGGTGTGATTGCAGAGCAGCTTTGGGAATCTGGTCTCATGGCTCAGGACAGGTTGTTGCTGTTCCTTTGAGGGTTCCCAGGGAGTACACGGGGACCCCCTAAGCTGTAAGTTCCCTGATAGCAGCAGGCAGGCAAGGAGACCCCACACAGATTCTGAGGATGCTCATTAGGTGAGGGTTTATTGGGGGTCCCACCCCCAGGAGCAGCATGGTTTCTGAGGGAGAAGGGGGAAGGGGGAAGAGAGGGAGAGCCTAGGGAGAAAAGGGCCAAGAGAGAGAAAAGGGCCAAGAGAGAGCAAAGGGCCAAGAGAGAGCCTCGTCTCCCTCGCACAGTTTTACAGGGAGATTCAAAGTGAGAACAGAATAAGCCTTGGGCCAATGGGATTACAGATACTTACATGATACTTCAGGGGAGGATCATAGGCTTGGAATAAACTGTACATTTTCAAGGGGTGAGACTGAGCGTACCATTTAAATAAAATGTAACACCACAGCAGGTCACTCACTAATTTACAAGCAGTGTTACTCTGCAGCTCAGATCTGACTGCAGAGGGCTGTTATTGCTGGTTCCTGCTGCAGGGACGTTATTGCTGTTGGTGGTGCTCTGCACAGAGTGTTCTGTCCTTTGCTCTCGTGCTTTGTAGATTCCTCTCCATCTTCCATTGATGGTTTTCTTACCTTCCCTTCACCTTTGCCTTTTCAGTCTGACCAGATGTCCCACCTTGTGAAGATCCCTGGGATTGTAATTGCAGCAACCCCCGTGAGAGCCAAGGCCACCAGAATCACCATCCAGTGCCGCAGCTGCCGCAACACCATCAGCAACATCGCCGTGCGCCCGGGCCTGGAGGGCTACGCCCTGCCCAGGAAGTGCAACACGTAAGGCCTGACAGGCTGCAGGGCCAGGAAAGACTGCATTCCCTCCTCCTGCTCCTGCTGCATCCCATGCATTGCAGAATCCCTGCCCCACAAGGCAGCAGCATCTGCACGGCTCTGCCTCTGCCCTTCGTGCTGCCCCTGAGCCAGTGTGCAGTTCTGGCTGGCAGGTTCCAGCTGTCCCTCTGTGGGCGTGCTGGCTGTGACCCTGCACGGTCAGTGCTGCGTGCAGCGTTGAGTGACCGTGTCCAGGGAGTTCTTCTTACTCATAGGGAGTTTCACCTGTTGTGCCTAAAGCATCATTCCTGCCTCCAGCTGTCCCATAATGTTGTTAAGTTGATCCTCTCTTTTCCAAACAAACTCCTTGCTTCCACATTCTCACTCCTGAGTGGGCTGTTTTGTGTTACCTTCCTTAGGGATGCTTTTCTGCTAGCCTTTTTATCCTGCTTTACAGCTCCTGGTACTTCTGAGAGCTGTGAGCATTAGACTGCCATTGTGCTGCAGCTCTCGAGGCAACCAGTCCTGGTGGGTTGTGTCTTTGGGCTCATACCTGCCAGTATATATTTTCTGCACCTGAACTCTAATGCATCTTGAGAGGGGTTTGGGCTAGGGATCATTCCCAATGTGTGTGGTCTGTAAAGCACCTTGTTCCTGATCCCTGACTGCATGAGTGCATCTGCTCTCTGGTGTTGCCCTACCTGAAAGCCCTGCATGGAGTCAGGCATCAGTCACTCTGAGACAGCAGCAGGACGTGGAGCTGCTCTTTGTCTCAGAGAACTTGTAATCTAGCTAGGCAGATACGGCTGGAGAGACTGGGAGGTGGATGTCAACCTTGTCACATTGCTAATTGCTTTCTCACCAGAAAGCACTTAACATTTGCTTTGTGCATGAGATTGTAAAGAAAAACGCTCTGCCGTGTCACCGAGTCTGTGCTGCTGCCCTCTGTGTAATTAATGAATTAGAGCTAGCAGGGGAGGGGTGGGAGGCAGGGAGAGTGCTCAGACAAGTGTCACCCTGCCTCTGCTTGCTCTCATGTACACATTTGGCACTTGTAGAAGACAGGACGGAGAGCTTGCTGGCCTTTGGTGTGGCCCCATGTGTCTGCCCTTAGCTGCTGATGTGGCACTGCTTGGAGGGGCAGCTGTCCCTTGCTGTCCCTTGCTGTCCCCTCCTCAGGTGCGCTCCAAGGGGTGGCTCCTCAGTGCTAACAGCCTCCCCTGACTGATCTCTCTGCACAGAGAACAAGCTGGCCGCCCGAGGTGCCCTCTGGACCCTTACTTTATCATGCCAGATAAGTGCAAGTGCGTGGATTTCCAGGTCCTGAAGCTGCAGGAGTCTCCAGACGCCGTGCCGCACGGGGAGATGCCCCGGCACTTGCAGCTCTACTGTGACAGGTACTGGCACAGCCCTGCCACCCTGCCCCTGCTGGCTGGTGCTGCTGCCATCCTTTCCCACCACCATGCTCTGCCTGTCTCCCCTTAGGTACCTGTGTGACAAAGTTGTCCCAGGGAACAGAGTCACTATCATGGGGATCTACTCCATCAAGAAATCTGCACAGAGCAAGAACAAAGGCCATTACAATGTGGGGGTGGGCATCCGGAGCGCTTACATCCGCGTGGTGGGCATCCAGGTGGACACAGAGGGCTCAGGTGAGGGCTGCTTTTGGTGTGCATTTGGTCTGTGTTGGTGGCCTGGTGTTGGGAGACACTTCCCACCCTGTTCCTGAACAAGGAAGTGATCCCTCAGCAAGAACTGTTTGAAATCACAGCCTCCATCCTTCTCTGCTGTTTATGTAGCAGAAAGTTCAAGCCATTCCAGGCTCTGACTTGTCCTGGGCTCTCTATAGTCATGTCCTGTAAGGCTTTTTCCCAGTCATGTTAAATGGGAGGTCTCAGCCTGGGTCCTCCAGGGCTAAGCCATCCCTGAGGATCCCAGCTGAAGTCCATGGTTAAGACTGTATTTAAAACGTGGTCCTGACTGTAATTCTCCCTCTGGTTCCTGCAGAGCTGCTTTGCCCAAGATCCTTGCTTTTTCTTACCAGCCTCTAAGGACACAGCCTGCCTTGCTGGGTTAGCAGATGCTTGCCCTCTCCACCCTTCCTACCTGGTGGCACTTGGCATCATTTTCAAGAGGGGATTTTGGTTGCAGTGTGCATGGGGAGAGTGATACAGTTTCCTCTAAGACCTCTATTTGTTCACTGTTGCATCCTTTCCCTCATCCCTGTACAGGACACAGCTTCAGTGGCTCGGTGACCCCTCAAGAAGAGGAGGAACTTCGTCGCCTTGCTGCCATGCCCAACATCTACGAGACCATTGCCAAGAGCATTGCGCCCTCCATCTACGGCAGCACTGACATCAAGAAGGCCATCGCCTGCCTCTTGTTTGGGGGCTCCCGCAAGAGGTGGGGAAGGGTCAGCCGTGGTTCCCAAATGCACTGTTTTGTTATGAGAATAAACTCTCACCATCTCTCCTCCCTCTCTCCTCCCAACCCCATCACTCCAGGCTCCCGGATGGCCTGACCCGCAGAGGGGACATCAACTTGCTGATGCTGGGGGACCCTGGCACGGCCAAATCCCAACTGCTGAAGTTTGTTGAGAAGTGTTCGCCCATTGGGGTACGTGGCTTGAGGTGCCCACGTGTAGTGCACCCCTTTTCTCCCTTCTGCTCCATGTCTAGCCCCAGAGACAGGACCGTGGTCATGGCAGACACCTGCCTGTGCATCCACAGACAGACGGGCTGGCAGAGGCACGAACTGCCATTTCCAGTACCAGCCTAGAAGGGATGGGCAGTGAGGGAGGGAAGGTGAAGAAGGTCATGCCTTTTATTATGCTGTGAGCCACGCTGTTAGCAAATGTCCAAAGACGTGCCTGGTGCTGCTGTTTATTGTTGAGACTTGATCAGCAGAGGGGCTGGCTGGTCAGGACAAATTAAGTTGACTGCATCTCAGGCACGGACCTCCAGCTTGAGCCCAGGCATAGAATTATGTTTTCAGCTGTGTTTTTTTGTAGTCTCTATTAAACTCAGCCTCTGACTGTATTGTTCCCTCCAGGGGCAAACAAAGCTAATGCAGCAGCCCACCAAACAATGAATCACTCCCTCTTCTGTACTTAATATCTGTGTTTGTGTCTGCATGCCCTCCGGTGTGTCACAGCTGCTTAGTCTGAGGCTTGGGATGAGGCAATAGCCCTGCTCTTCACCCAGCACATCTGCTTTTTGCATGTGCTGAGGGCTTTTCTTGGAGGTTCTTCCTTTGGGAGCTCTGGATTTTGTGGTGCCAGGGATGTTTTGTCTCTCAGCTGGAGCAGTGGCCTCCTGGGTGCTGCTGCAGCTGATGTCCTGTCCCTTTCCTTGTTCCACATCCTAGGTGTACACCTCAGGAAAAGGCAGCAGCGCTGCTGGCTTGACAGCCTCAGTGATCCGTGACCCTGTCTCCAGGAATTTCTTCATGGAGGGAGGAGCCATGGTGCTGGCAGACGGAGGAGTGGTGTGCATTGATGAGTTTGACAAGGTGCCTGTGGGAGTGGGAAGGAGAGCCCTTGGGGTGCCAGCCTGTCCCAGCAGAGCCCAGAGCTGCAGGAGGAAGGGCAGCTCCTCTGAGACTCCCTCACTTCCTTCCAGGGAAGACTGGGGATGGGGTTGCAAGGAAATGCAGTTACATCCCGCCTGCTTGGGCAGAGGTCCTCACAGACCTTTATGTTGGGGCTCACTTCAGTGAGTGTGTGGCAGAGGTGACTGATGGTGACTTTTTCTCCTTGCCTGGTTTCTTTCACTGGGATGTGAAGATGCGGGAGGATGACCGTGTGGCCATCCATGAGGCGATGGAGCAGCAGACCATCTCCATTGCCAAGGTGAGCTGTGGGTTGAGCATGCTGCCCTGAGGTGGCAATCTGAGAGCCCTGCAACCAGTGGCCACACATCATTTGCCAGAACTGCCCATTTTAGAGCCCAGGCAGTGGTATTGATGGTTGCTGGTGTCACTGAGAGCAGTCAGCCCTGCCTGGAGGCTTTGGGCAGCCTGAACTTCCTGGCTTCTCCTTGCTGGTGCCTGTCAGGCTGCACCTGCAAACCCATGCTTTGTGCCAGAGCTGCCCAGGAGGACTCAGCCCTGTCTGCCCAGTGTTTGTCTCAGATCACAAACCTGGGGTGAGGTCTCCTCTGTCTCTGCCTTGACAAAAGGTTTTAAATGAATTTACTCAGTGCTCAAGTCTCAGCTGAAGCCAGTCCCCTTCCAGAAGGACTTGTGGGTCCTGTCCCACCATTACAGAGCAACTGGGTGGTACTTTGGGGCTTTATATAAATGAAAGTGATTGACAGTGAGTCCTTGAAAATGGCTTTCAACCTTTCACTGAATAATGACCTGCTGTGACATGGAGGGGGTCTTGACACCATCCTTTTTTTTTTGCCTTCACCCACAGGCAGGAATCACAACCACGCTCAACTCCCGCTGCTCGGTTCTGGCAGCTGCCAACTCTGTCTTTGGGCGCTGGGATGACACCAAGGGCGAGGAGAACATTGATTTTATGCCCACCATCCTGTCCCGATTTGACATGATCTTCATCGTTAAGGATGAGCACAATGAGGAGCGAGACATGGTGCGTGGAGCCGCGGGTGCAGCTGGACTCAGGGTGCCCCTTTCTTTGGGAGGAGGAGGAGGCAGGGGCCTTCCTGCTCTCTGACTGCCTCTGCTTTCCCAGACGCTGGCCAAGCACGTGATGGCCTTGCACGTGAGTGCCTTGACGCAGACCCAGGCCGTGGAGGGCGAGATTGAGCTGAACAAGCTGAAGAAGCTCATCTCCTTCTGTCGGACGTGAGTGTCTGTCGGGTGTGCCTTTGGCACCTGGGAGGCAGTGGTGAGAGGCAAAGCACCCGGCACTCTGGGTGCCCTTTCTCTTAACTCCTGCCTTGGGAAGAGGCTGCAGGAGGAGCTCTCAGTGGTGCTGCAGCACCCAGGGAAGGGAGGGGTGCCCTGGGGTCCCTCCCCTTGGGCGCTGGCTCCAGCTGGTGTCCCCCTTGCAGGAAGTGTGGCCCTCGGCTGTCGGCAGGGGCGGCGGAGAAGCTGAAGAACCGCTACGTCCTGATGCGCAGCGGCACCCGCCAGCACGAGCAGGAGAGCGACCGCCGCTCCAGCATCCCCATCACTGTCCGGTGGGCAGCACCCCCTCTGGGGCTGGGCCGTGTTACTGGGCTCGTCCAGGAAGGGGCTGGGCTGTGAGGGTGTGGCCCCGAGCCCTGAAAGTGCTGTGGGGGGAGGCAGGAGGTGCATGGAGTGGGGTGGGTGGGGATGGCAGGAGCTGGGGGGAAGAAAACGCCCTTGAAGCGGCAGTAGGAAGCAGGGAGTGTCTCTGGTGGCTGCAGGCAGCTGGAGGCCATCGTGCGCATTGCCGAGTCCTTGGCGAAGATGAGGCTCCAGCCCTTCGCCACCGAGGCAGACGTGGAGGAGGCCCTGCGGCTCTTCCACGTGTCCACGCTGGACGCGGCCATGTCGGGCAGCCTGTCAGGTGAGGAGGAGATGCTCTGTGCTGGGGGTAGGAGAGACATGCTGGGCCTGGCTGCTCAGGGCAGGGAGAGACGAGCTCCTCTCTCAGGACCTGGCTGTCAAGGGCAGGTGCTAGAGCTCCTTCCTGAGCAAAGACAAAGCAATGCTTTGGGCAGCAAGAGGCCAGCGTGGGACTGTGCTTCACAGGGAGAGCAAAGGCAGACACTGTTCTGCTCAGGGGAGGGCTGGTTTGGACCCTTGTGGCCCCAAGGGCAGAGTCTAGTGCTAGGTGTGGTTCCCCAGACCTATTAATCCTCTAAGATCTTTTTCTATGGGCGTGAAGACAATGTTTCCTTGGGCAGCAGCATGGAACAAAGGGTTTGAAGAAAGCTCCAGCAGCCAGGTCCACATTCAGTTCTGTGGTTGGAGCTCCACAGCCTTTTACAGTGGAGTTGTTCATGGGTTCCCTACAGTCTGTAAGCTGTGCAGGTGTGGTGGGAGACACAGGAGCTGAGCTCTGTGTCCTGGACAGTGACAGCTGGGCAGCACAAAGGCTCACTCAGTGTCTCCCTGCAGGGGCAGAAGGCTTCACAACACAGGAGGACCAAGAGATGCTGTCCCGCATTGAGAAGCAGCTCAAGCGCCGCTTCGCCATCGGCTCCCAGGTGTCCGAGCACAGCATCGTCCAGGACTTCATGCGCCAGGTGGGTCAGGGACCCAGGGAGGGCTGGGCTGTGAAACCAGGGACCCCAGGCTGCTGCTGGGGGCATGAAACCCCTTCCTCAAGGGCAGACTGGTGAACCTTTTGGTCATGCGTTAGAAGTTGTGTGTAGAGAATAGCATGCAATATGATTGCAGAGTTTAAGGAGACTGAGGTAAGTTTCTGCAAAAGCTCTGAGGCTGTTTGGGGTCCTACCCTTGAAACCAGAACTGTTTGATTTGTGACACTGGCTGCATTCAGATCTAAAGTAGGGAAAGGGGAAGGAAGCATCAGTGTCTTGGGCTTGCTCCTTTTAGAGTCCTAGCCAGGCTTTGGCAGAGGTTCCTGCTGAGCTCCTGTTGGCTATTCCACGCTGGCTCACCTTCCCCCACTCTCCCCCTTTGCAGAAGTACCCAGAACACGCCATCTACAAGGTGCTGCAGCTGATGATGCGGCGGGGGGAGATCCAGCACCGCATGCAGCGCAAGGTCCTGTACCGCATCAAGTGACCTCCCTGTCCCAGGCTCCAGGAGGGAACTGCTGCTGCTGACACTGCCCAGGAGCAGGCAGAGTGCCCCTGGGAGCTGGGGCCTGCTCCTGAAAGAAGCTTTTCCTTGGGGAGCCCAAAAGCCCCAGGCCTCCATCTTGAGGGTTTGTGGTGGTCAGGGCGTCCCTTGTGTGCTCTGTTGCTGTGTCATGTCTGTGTTTCTTTGAACTCCAAGAGCTTTTAGTTTGTATTAAAATAAAACCTGATATTGGTAGCTTGGTGTCTTTGCCCGTGAGGGGCAGAGTGGATGGATCTCCTTCTTCCTTTGAAGGGGGTGCAGGATTTTGGATAGAAAGGTGTCCCTCCTGCCTGCCCTCCCTTATGCCCTTACTCTCACCCAGGCTCCAGCCTCATGGGCAGCACCAGCAGCCCTGAAGGCAGAAACTCATTTCTCACTCAGGGTTTGTCTATTAAGGCATGAAGCCTGTTGGCACAAGCTGTCCACTTGGGCTCAGCAGTGCAGGAGGCACTTTACCACTCCCTGTGTGCAGTCTGCTGCTTTCTCCCCCTCAGCCAGTGGAAGTGAAGGAAATTATTTGCTGTTTGTTCCCTGCTCTTTGCTAATCCCTCTTTGCTCTCTTCCTGGGCTGCAGCAGGGACACTCTTTACCCTGCAGTGTTAAAGGGTTGTGTGAAAGTCTTGCTTGAGGCATGGGCAGAGTTCCCTTCATTATCCTTCATCTCCATCCTCACTCCTTGCTCCAGTGAGGATGGAGATAAAGGATAATCCCCATGACCTGTGTGCTGTCCTCCATATAGTCCCTGCCACCTCCTCCTTTATGCCAGTGGCCTTGGGGAAGATTGTTCCACACACCAGGAGCCTCTCCTGGACACTGCCCTGTGCAGCTACTCACCCTTGCACTGCATTTGCAGCACAACCTTGCACTTGAAAAGTTGGCAGATTTTTGTTATTTCTAGCAATATCTACTGGCTCTCTCAGGTGTTCTCACAAAGATGTATGGTGCTGGTAGGGCCCTGCTCTCAGCAGCCTGTGAGGACAGTGGTGGGGGCCTTGGAAGGCAGCGGTGTTGGGTGAGCAGAGCTGCTGCCTGTGGTGGACAGGCTGGTGCCTGTGGCTGCTTTCAGGCTGAAAAACCCCAGGAGAGGCTTCAACAGCAACAGAAACGTGCAGGGCCAGCAGAGGGTACCAGAGCCTCGAGGATGCCAGATCGTGGCCCTGCTCGTGGCGCTGCCTCCTTCTCCTGGAGGGAAAACCAAGGGATCCCAATGGGCTGTGCTGTGCACTCAGTCTGGCAGCTGCCACACGAGGGCTGGGCCCCACTGCAGCACTTGGGGGTCCAACAACGTCCCTCTGCTGCTGGGTTTGAGAGGCACATGGTGCACTCCGTGTGTGGTTGTGGAGTTGGAAGTTGGAGGGGCTGAGTGCTGGTGGCATGGGAGAGACTGGCTGCAAATTAGAGGAACAGCCTTCTGCTCTTCATTCTCCCATTTTTTGGTTAGGGACAGCCTTTGTGGAGGGCTAGAAGGAAGAGAAGGCTGGCCTAGACTCCCAAAGAATAGGCCAGGATACGTCTCTCATTCTAGTGATTTTATTGCCCCATGTTTTTGCATGTGCCAAGCACCTTGCAGTGTTTCTTGGATGCCCCAAGCAATGCTGGGGCAAAAGAGGGCCCCTTTGTTTCCCCTCAGGAAAAAAAAAGGCATCTTCTGTCCTCACAGTGTTCCCTGGATGTAAAAATAAGAGGGATGTTGCTGCTCCATGGAGGGGATCATCTCCAGGAAGAAGAGTAAGTGGATGTGGGAATAACAGCCACATCCTGCCCTAGAAACTGAAGTTCTCAAAACTCCAGGTGTCTGTTAGAGAGCATCCTGCCCTCCTGACAAGCTGGCAGCATCAGGAGGGGCTCTCAGGGCAGGGTCAGCACAGGCCTGAGGCAGCAGCCTGGTGTTGTGGCTGTGTTTCTGCCACAGCCCCTGCAGATCTGGAGTAGTGGGTCCTGCAGGTCTCTCAGCCCCTGCCAGCGTCCCACAATTACCCCTGTGCCTGCTCTGAAGGTGCAGGCAGTACCTGTGGTCCTTTCAGAGGTGCACAAGAGCTCAGCAAAGAGAGGAGTGTGTGTGGGAGTGCAGGATCAGTACCCACAGCCTGCTGCTAGTGCTGCCTCTGGAGGAGACTGAGCCTCTGCTCCCAGGCTGGAAAAGAACAGCCAGTGGTGGGCAGAGGGTAAGGGAACACAATGCAAAGGGCTCTATTTCCCTCATGTGCCTTCCTTCCCCCTTCCCTCCTGGCTTCTTTTCTTCCCTCAGGCACCCCCTCATCATCACAATTATTTTTCCTGTGCTGGAGCAATAGGACATGGCTGGATTTTGGCTGCTGCTGGCTGCCAGAGGTGGTCATGTGTCATTCAGAGGTTTTAAATGAGCTATCATCTCCAGGAACATCAAGCTGTGCTGGGTGTTGGCAGGTGTGGAGGTTGGAAATTGTCATTTTTTAATGTTGTGTTCGTGACAAGAGCTGAGGTGGATTTCTGTGCTGGGGATCAGAATGATTGATGTCTTAGTGCCAAGAGCTGTGTTGATGATATGGTATGAGGTTATGTAAGTGTGCATACGACGTGAAACAACATCTTTTAGCAATTAATGCATGCAGTGTTATCCCAAGGAGCAGAGCTGGGATGTGCACAACTGGCATTGTTTGGAGCTTGAGCTCACTGCTTGGTGCTGACTTGTGTTGAGCACAGCACTGCAGGTGGAAATTGTGTGAGGAACAGCAGTTCTCAATTGGGTAGGTGCACGGTGATATCTATTTCATAAAGGACCATCATCCTCCTGGTGAAGGCGTGTCAGTCTCATCTGAAGTTCTGGCATGCTGAGATTTGGGATAAAGCCCCTGTCCAAGTGTGGTTAGATGACCAAAAATACTAACAGAGAGAGCAAAACCAGTCAGGCTTAGGCAGTTGGATCTGAGCAGCAGAACATTGCCCTACCTGGCCTGCTGACCTGGCCCTGTCCCTTCCTCCCCTCAGTGCTGCCTCTGGCACAGGAAGCCCCTTCCCTACCCCTGGCTTGGCTCTCTGGGAAGCACAGCTGGATGGATGTAATCACCCCAAACCAGGCAGGCACCAACAAGGATCAGGTGCCTTTCATTCAAAGCTTGGGCTGTGGTAGAAGCCCTCTTGCCCCAGTGAATTAGTACCTGAAGAACTTGTAAACTACATCTGATTCTGCATGAGGTGGGTTGATCTGTGTGACTGGATCACTCCAAAGAGAACCAGTCCACTGGGCTCTTGCCAGCATTTTTGGTTGTCTGAGGACGTCACCTTAAGCTGCACCAGGGAAGGTTTAGGTGGGACATTAGGAGGAATTTCTTCACAGAAAAGATGCTTGGAATGGGCTGCCCAGGGAGGTGTGTAAGGAAAGACTGGACGTGGTGCTTAATGCCACGGTCTAGTTAACATGGTGGTATTAGGTCATAGGTCAGACTTGATGATCTCAAAGGTCTTTTCCAATCTAGTGGATCTGTGATTCTGTGAAGCTCATCAGAATATTTCTGTGAAATGTCAGTGGAGCTCCACTACTGTAAAATCCAGCAAAGCTGAGTCATCACATCTGCACCACTCAGATTTCTTCCATCTCTGTGTGGGATGAGAACTGTTGCAATGCAGCAACATAACCTCTGAGCATGTTGTGAGTGTCACTTCCTCCATAAAATAAAACAGAACCCAACTGCAGAGTCCTGAGGGCTATTGCTCAAGGATGTGAGATAAACACTGGCGGGTGGGATTGGCTGATATGGGCAATGTGAGAAACAATCTCATCTGGTCCAGCAAGCACCAACCTCAGACAAATGAAGTTGGGACTCCTTCCCCCTTTCTGCTGCTGACTTAGTTGAGCAAGTGACTTTATCTCCTTGCCTGTTCTGGATAATGACCTTTTTGGAGCACAGATCACTTCTTACCATGATTTTGTGCAGTGCCTGAGAGAACCAGTAGCCCAATATCAGTGGCAGAGTTTACTTGCTGGCCTAAGTAACACTAATACATTCTAGGGCTTCTCCAGCCCTGGTTAGGATGGGAAATTATCTCCTGCAGGCAAAGAAATTCCTTTGATTTGCTCTGGACAATGCCAGAGAAGATCAAGAAATGAAGGAAGACGTGGTGCAGCAGTGCTGTGCTGCCATGTGGAGCAGCCCCCATGGCATGGGCCGGGGTGCCTGGATAGTGCTCTGCTGGGTGGGGCTCTCATGCTGAGTCTCAAGTCCTCTAAGTTTGGTTGGCAGCCTGTACCCCCTAATTCTGGGCTAGGTTCCTTCAAAAGCCCAAACCACTCATTCTCCCACAGCAGTGATGTACCAATGTCTGCCACTGCTCTTTGCCATGTTTTGCCATCCTTTTGCAACATCCTTTGCTCTTTCCTTTGCTCTTTCCTTTGCTCTTTTTGCTCACCTCTGCTCCAGGTCTCTCCCAACAATCCCAGGCAGTCCATTTACTCCTCCTCCCCTCCATTTCATGCCTCATGCCTGCTCTCTTCTCCCATCTGCATGGTCATCCCCTCCTATTTCCCTTCCTGGCCATTGTGGTCTGTCCCATGCCACCCTGCCACCTTACAGAGTGCTCAGCAAAAGCCTCCCTGCTCCACAGGCAGGCAGGACAGCAGGGAATAACCTGCTGGATCAGCTCTCAGCACTGCCTGTTAGGAGCAGGACACCAAGGGACATTCCTCAGAGAACACTCCCTGGACTGTCTGCTGTGGCCATTCCTCTTCTCCTTGCCCTTCAGCTTCTACCCAGCCAAGGTGCTCCACTTCCTCTCCCCATTATTTATCTTCACCTTATCTTGCCTCCCTTTTCTATTTTTTCATGAAGCTTTTTTTATCTTTTTCTCAGACTAGGGTGTGGGTAATTTGGCCAGAAATGCCCCAGATCTCTGGCCAGGAAAGCCAGGCAGCACTGGTTTATCAGCCTTCTGGACCCTCAGAACAGCAGCAGGAGCACTGTCCTGCTTGCCTTGGTCCCAGTACCCATGGACTGCTTGCTGAGTGGGAGGCAGCTCTGTCCATAGCTGGCCAGTGCTGTGTGCCCATCAGCACCCAGCACCTCTGCAGTTTAAATAGGCATCTGTAAATAGATGCCCAGGC